GAGCATGGCGAGGTGACAGCGCCAGGCCAGCTCGGTTATCCTATTCACCCCGTGCGCTGTGGCTGGTGCCTGCTCTGTCACAACGACCGATGCTAAATCTGGCTCGAGGAGAAGAGAAAGAGGAGGAGAACCTTCCCTCCCTCCCGCCGCAGCAGGGGACCTGAGGACAAGACGTCACTGCTCGGAATGTGCATCCCGGAGACGACACGAGGTGGCACACGGCGCTGCCTCCTGCGCCTTACATAAGCCGTGCCAGGCAGCCCTGCCCGTGGTGCTCAGCCGGCTGCAGTGCCTGCTCGGGCTCCTGCCCCCCGCACCTCTGCTCCCCCTCTGCTGCCTCAGGCCTTGCGCTTCCAGTGCTGCTCACACCATGCTGCAGCCTGAATTCCTCTTGAACAAACAACAGTGAATTTGCTTGTGCTGTTCCGAGTTTGTACTTCAAGCCCCGTTTCGGCCCTTTTGGAGCTCCTGAGCTCTTGTTAGACTTTTCTTAGGCAGTTCTGAATTTGTACATCATTGGCTGGGTTTCTCTGTGTTTCATTGTACCCTACTTAGCTCCTGTCACAAGGAAAGCTTGTTGATGGTCAGTGTGCCTGTTCCCTTATGGAATGGTGCACATGGAGTAAGAGCTTTTGGGGAAGTCTGGAAGCTCTTCCTATATATTCATTATTTTTTTTCAGGAATAAGCTTCTATTGGAAACATTTGCACAAAAGTAGAACAGATTTAATGTGTGGTTTTCATGAGTTTTTATGCTTGGGTGCATTTTTTGTAGTATTGCTCTTTTCTAATATCAAAAGATTTAATTTCAAGGGTTAAGTAATCAACTCCCTTTGAATTAACTTTTGGTTTTGCCTAGAGATTAATGTAAGTTAGGCAAAAGGAAAACTTGAGTTGTCCTTTGTGAGGAATCCCATCTTCTTTCACATTGTTTTGAGAAGCTTCAGGAAACTGTCATTTCTAAGCCACTGTGTGTTTGATTTGTAAGTACTTGAAGTCCAACTTCTTCCCAGGAATTGTTCATCAGAAATGAGTTTTCAGATCATTTACTCCTACTTACTACCTTAAGAGCTCTGTAGCAAACTGTGGTTTAGGCTTTGTAAAAATATATTCAGAGGAGTTGAACTTGAGATGATC